ATTTATATCTTTAATCATTTATCATGTTATATTAACAAGAAGAAGATGTATATATTTAATATTGTTAATAGAATGAAGTAGGTGATAAATAGAATAGGCAACGAAAAAGGAAATAAGAGAAAAAATGAAGAGAAAGAATGATATGAAAGAAAAAAGTGAAATTAAGAAATAGAAGAAGATGAAAAGAATAAGAAAATTGAGAATATAAAAATAAAGAAGACAAAAAGGAGTAAATCAAAAAGTGATAATAAAAGATGAAAAGAAGGATGGAATAATGGTGTATTTTTATTACAGAAATTAGAAATATGAAATAAAAGAGCATGTAATTTATTGATACAAAATATTTAACATTATTTTATTGATGCAATTTATTTTATTCATTTTTATTTTTATGATTTTTATTTATATGTATATAATTTATTTTGGTTCTCTCCAATCTCTTTTCAACGAAATCAGAAAAAAAAACTCTAAATTAAAATAATAAAACAAGACATTACAAGGAAAAATAAATGAAATAAAATAGAAATAACACAGAAATATGAAATAAAGATGAAATTACTAACATTCTTTGAGTTAATTATGAGAAGTTGAATAAATATGAGGTGGAGAAGAGTGTTGATATATTGAAGAAGAATATAAGAGATAAATAAAATCAAATCATTTAATATCAAAAAAGTGTGATTGAAAAGTATGAGATTGCAGAAAAAACAAAAGAAGAATTAGACCATACACAAAGAGAAAATGAAGAACAAAATCAAATAATATTAAATCATCATCAATTTATTATTTATTTTTTATTTCAGAAATGGAGAAGAAGAAAACAATGATATTAATGATAAATACATAACAAATACTGAGAATATCATCATCATGGATTATACAAATGAACAAAACTACCATTATGAAAATTATAATATTATAAATAAAAAGAACAAAACATTGAATATCAAAAAACAAGAAATGATAAACAAACAATAATAAAATAAAACACAATAAATCAAACAAATAGAATTTAATTGATATGTTGTATTATTTTGAATTAATTTGTTAAATAATAAATTAAATAAGAAAATAAGAAATGAACAAATAGAAAATATAATAAAAATAATAAATAATAATGTAAATAATGATAAAGAATACATTAATAATATTAAATAATATTTTATTATTAATTTTATTATTTATTATTGTTATTTAAAATAATAAAATAAATAACAATCATTATATTAATTTAATGAATAAAATAAAATAATGTTTATTAAAATAATAAAATAATATAACAAAATAAATGATGTTTATAAACGTGTATTTAGTTATTTAATCATCTGATTTTGATCTGATATTAATTAAATTAAAATGGATGAGTTAATAAACAAAAACACTCATTTCTTTAAAGAAGAAATAGAAACACTTCCAAATATTCAACAATCAATTGATGATATTAATAAACATTATCATTATTATGTAGGAAGTATTAAAAATGAAATATTTGAAATAAAACCAAATGAAACATATTCAGAAGCTATTAAAAGAGGAGAAGGAATATTTGATAGGACTGATGAAACAGAAAGAAGAAGAAAACTAATAATAGAAAAAAGTCAAGAAACAATAAATAAAATAGAAATATTAAAGAATCAAATGAACAAAATAATAGAAAAACACAACAAAGAAGAAGAAATATTAATCAAAACAAGGAATGAAATAAACAATAAAATCATTTCAATTGAAGAAATGAACATGAAAGATAAACTATTCAGAACACCAAAAGAAAAAGATAAAATCACCCAATCATTTAACAAAAAGAAAGAAGAATGGGAAACATATTATAGTGATTATTTAGAGAGGAAGAAGAAACAAGAAGAAGAAAAGAAGAGAAAAGAGGAAGAGATAATAAAAACTATAAGAAAAAAAGAAACAAGAAGAACTGAAACAAACAGAAGAATGGACAGAAAGAAGAAATCCAATATACTGTTTGATTCAGATATTGATAATTGGAATGTTAATACATCAATATTTCATCAAAGAATAAAGAATAAAGAACATATAATAATTATTATTGAAGATACAAATGGAAATAAATTTGGAGGATATGTTAATGTGAAAATTGATAAATTTGGTGATTATATAAATGATCCAAATTCATTTTTATTTTCATTAAAATCAAAAGGAAGAGTACAAGAAATGATGAAATTTGATATTAAAAAACCACGATTTGCATTTATTTTATTTAATCAATCAAGTGATTATTTGTTTGGATTTGGATGTGGATTAATTGGTGGTGATATTGTTGTTTGTAAAGAAAATAATAAAACAAATTCATGTTGTTATCAATGGTCATTTTCATATAAAGGAATATCAAATGCACTTTGTGGAAAACACTATTTCACACCACAACGAATTATTGTAATTGAAATGAAATAATTTTTATTCATTATTATTTATTTGAAATATAAAACTAAAAAAGAATATAAAATAAAATCAATAAATGAATATGAATATTTCATCTGCCAATGAACGAAATGGTGAATATAAAAATGTACATATTTCTTTCTTATTTTATTTGAAATATTCATATTCATTGTGTTAATTTGTTAAATAATAAAAAGAAATAAGAATAAAAGATAAATAAAAATATAATAAAATATTTATTTTATTATTTTTTATTTATTTTTTATTTTATTTATATTATTTTATATTTATTTATTTTATTCTTCTTCTTTTATCTTTATATCTATTATATATTTCTTATTTTATTATTTATGTTATATTCTTATATCATTTTATTCTTATTTTATATTTATTCATTATTATTCATTTCATATTAACAATGATAAATATCAATACAACATATAATAAATAAATAATATAAGATAAACAACAATAAATAATAATAAAATATAAACAAACAATATAAACAAATATAAAATAATAAAATAACATCTAATATAAAATAATAATAACAAGAATAAAAAGAAGAAATGGATGATGTTTAGAAAAGAAAAAATTGAGAAAAAGAAGAAATGAATGATGATATTCAAAGATAAAAATCAATATAAAATATAAAATCAAATATAATAAATAATAAGAATAAGAATGAT